TATAAAACGTGGACTTTTGGTGCGGATTCTTGTCAATTTACAACTCGAGTGTACCTTGATAATTGCTTCAATTGCTTCTTTGTCTTTTGTTGATAACCTTGAAAAAATTTGCTCGTTTACTCTGTTATTACACAGTAGCATAAAATGAGTGTCGATTTTTAGCCTCAAAAGTTATCATTTTGTCGTCCTTTGCTTTGAACTTCTTTGCGTCTGCAACCATCTTGTCCACTTGTGCCTTTGAGAATCTTCTTACCTGTTGTCTCGTTTTCAGCCGACACATTTAATATCCCATTTGCATTTGTGTCAAATGTGACTTCAACTGTGAGACTCCATGTGGTGCTAATAAGATACCAAACAACCCAAACTATCCAAGCAGGTTGCAGTGTGATGTCATAGATGCCTCGCCCTCAAAGACTTGGATGAGCACGCCAGGCTGGTTGTCTGCATGTGTCGTAAATATCTGTGACTTCCTTGCTGAAATTGTTAAGTTTTGTGTTATCAATTCTGTCCTCACACCAATCACAAACGTGCTCTTGTGATTGGTGTGTTGAAGTCGGTGCATTTTTTAATATCAATTAAAGTTTAATATTTTTTGAGGAGCATTTTCTGCTTTTCTTCTGTTATCTTTTTTGAATTTATTTTTGTTTGATAATTTTTCTCTTTTTAAGTTTTTATTACCAAGTCTTTACTCTCTTAAAATAAAAACAAAATTGCAATTGACATTATTTTAGAAGGTTTTGGTGCCAAATATGTGAGAAATCATTATATTCCATAGGTGTGTGGGCTTATTTGGTTGGTCAAAACCACACACGGATAGAATTTTTACTGTAAAATGGTCTTTCTACAATACAGTTTGTATTTTATTATTTTTGTTCTTTTTTTAAAGTGTGCTAATAATATCAAAAAACAGAATTTCTGAACAACTGAAAAATTTATAAAGCCAAAACGAATGATAAGTTGGCGTTAAAATTTGAATACAACGAAATAAACGAGTCAACCAAATTATTCAAAATCAATTAAAGTCATTTATGATCGAGCATACATGTTAAATTATCATTTGAGTCAAATTGAAAACGACACAGTGATATAAAACAAGTCAATGTTTTGAATTCGTTTATTATTAGTCATTAATGACAT